GGCAGGAGTGTATGGAGGGATGGACACTGGGAAGAGGTAACTATGGGAAGGAAGTGGGAGGGGAGCTGTTGCATTGTGGTAAGCTGTGGTCAATGACATGCGACAATGTATATGTGAACTGCTGTATGGAAAGTGAATTTGCTCTGTAAATCTTCACCCAAATCAAAATAAAATAAAATAAAGAAATATCTGGTCAAGGAGCTACACTACTGCTCACATAAATGCTTCTTTGGAAGCTGCTGAGCTAGGTAGCAGGTTAGCCCAAGTCATTCATAGCTCTTCTTTCATTCTTATAAAACCAAAACCAAACTCACTGTCATCAAGTTGATTCCAACCTATAGCAGCCCTATAAGGCAGAGAGTAGAACTGCATAGGGTTTCCAAGTCTCTAAATCTTTATGGTAGCAGAACTGCCACATCTTTCTCCTACACAGCAGCTGGTGGGTTTGAACCACCAACTTTTGTTAGCAGTTGAGCACTTTATCACTGTGCCATTAGGCTCCTTCCCTATACTGCTGCTATTTGGCCCTTTTGTTGTTTATGATGGAAAGGGGGAAAGAGGCTATTAATTTTACAAATTGCTATCAGTTCTCATAAAACATATTGTATGGGAAGAGGTTGAATATAGTCAGTATTGCCTATAGCTGATTTTCATCTGTAACCATAGATAACCAGGAATCAACACCCTCATTGATACTATTGCTATCTTTACAGACCTGCGTATCATTTTAAAAAGATCATTTCATCTTCTCATTTAAAAAGTTCCAATGCATCTATGAAATTTTCATTGTCCCTTGACATATTTACAAATGTCACCTCCTCTCTCACAGCCACCCCCACCTCCTCCTCCTGTTGCCCATCTGCCTCAGCTAAAAGAACACAGGCATCTGTCTGCAGCAATTAGACCCAAGTTCTTCCACAAACATAGACCTCCATGGAAGCCAAACAAGAAAGCATTAGGAAGAAAAAACAACGCATTGCATCTCCTTTAGACCCATGGACTGATTTTCATTAGGACCAGTATCTGATTTCTGTGACATCTGCTTGATTTTTTTTTTTTTTTTTTTTTGTAAGTTCTGGGCTGAAAAGGGCCCCATTGAGGCAGACTGGGCCACATCAGTGATGGCAAGCCATGAGTAGCTCCTA